TTAGTAGAGAAATTATTCATATGTCAATTTGCAGACTTTCAATGTCAACAACACTTGCAAGGAAAACTTCAAAAGCTTCCCTAACTCTCATTAACCTCTTGTCAATTCCACAACAAGTATCCTCGTCAAAGTCTGCAGACTTAATTTTCGTTATTTTTTCCATCCACACACTTTCAGGGAAAAGTTAATTCTCAAAGAGAAAAATTGCCAAGGGTAACGAATTAAGAAAGGAATAAATGTGGCTCGAGAGATCTTTTAAAATAAAATGATGTATTACATGCGTGTGATACAAGACTAGATTTATATTTCTGTATCTCGATCGAACAAAGTAAATCAATAGATAATTTTGATTTGACGCGTTTCAAATAAGATCATGATGAAAACTTAAAGATCACGCAGCTTGTGTTCTCCACAAGCTCAAAAGGTTTCAAAGGCGTAAATAATTAATTCATTTTGGTGACAGATTCTTCTCCAATTAAAACCCATCGCATTTAAGTGATAGAAGCTGATGTGCTCATCAAATCTCTAGATGAAAGAAGAAGATTGAGCTTTCTTGAAAGAATTAACTCATTTTCACACTAATTATGGATGTTTTAATGTAATTAAGTTTCTTAACAAATGTGCCAAAGAAATTAAAATTTATATCACTTACCAAACAGAAGCAGGAAAAGGCTAAAAACACAAATACTGACTGCATAATGATCCAGTGTCAAATACGAGCTTGTCTCATTTGTCTGCAGAGACAAAACAACGTAGCAACTAAAGCTTCGCTTCACGTTGGGTTGACAACCGTAGACTCTGCAAAATGTTGGTTGAGTTAACACTCTTGTATTACACCGTAAAATAGATTATAAGTGAGTTGTGTTGAAGATGAGAGTCGTTAAAAGCCAAATTGGCAGAAAGTAACATGAAGCAACGACGAAATCCAAGAAATCTTCCAAAGAATCCCTAAAACTGAGTTAGAGTACTTCGGCCCGTGAGCAAAACGCACGCTGTTCGCAGTTGTATAACAACCCACTCAATGCACGATCACAGAGGTAACTCGAGAATCATCTTTCATACAGCATACGATTACAAACGATTACCTGATCTGTAATTAAATTAGAAAAGAGCCGTCCTTTCCCTTACGAAGTTAATTTCAGATGTCTGTCGCGAATTCAGTTGAGCTTGCAAGATAGTACAACGAAGGCGGAGTCACGAGACTTGCTCACTCAGCCCCATGCCCGCCGCATCTTTATGTCACGCAAGCAATGCGGAAGTATGTGCGGAATTTCATTGGCTTTTAATACTGATGTCTAAAATGAATGGATATCAACTGAGAGAGAGAGAGATCAGAAGGGTAGTGCGTGTCGTTTTTCGAGGTACTTCGCGATTTGGTAAGAAAACTGTAAGCCTAAGATCGTCATACAACGCTTACCTCGAAGAAGCATGAAGCACAAACAGACCAGAGGTCGTAAATTCTACGATGGAAACGAACAAGGCAAGCAACCTACGTCGAATGCCGCTAAACGTTCTGTTAATCAACTTATTCGGCGATGGCGTAAACTTGGCGCTAAGGTGATATATTTCTGTCTCACCAAAGTTATGTCTGACTCGATTTTCGAAAACTTGGCACAAGGGAAAAGGTAAGATAAAATGTCAAAAAAATGCATGAATTCGCTAATCATATATGATGATAAGCTCGAGATTTTTACCGCGTGATGGATGATGAGGGCGAAGCCCAGTGGCCAACATCAACTATCACGCTAAAGAAATTGAGGACGAATAATCCTATTGTTTTCATATCAATCAGGAGCTCATTACCAATGGGCTCCTGAATCAATCTATTTGTCGTTTAAACTCAACGAAAAGACAGGCTCGTGTTTTGTTGTTGTTGTTGTTTTTTTCACAATCGCTTGAAGTCAGGAAAGAGATTACAATAAGTTTATAATCCTCAATTGTTAGGCTTCTCACTTTATTGATTGTCTATCACTGAAGCTACATAGCGAGTAGCGTCGCCAGTCAGGTTGCAGCATCTGTGAAAAGAACATCAGTTGATTTGTAATTCATTGTATAATAGCGCTCTTTGCGGGCGCTGATTCGCTAGCTCGGAGGAGATTACCACAGCATATTTATTACTATTAGTACAAATACCGAAGTACTAAGCGACTAGAGAGCTACAAAATGGATTCTCATTTCGCTACGGCTCACTTAAGAGAAAAGCATTTCAAAAAACGAGTCAGCCGTGACAAAAAAAATTATATGGATAGCGGCAAAGTCCAGTAGGATGGCTTTATACTGTTATTGCATTAAAAGAAAGGTTTCGTAGGTTGTTGAACTCTAGACAAGGAAAAGTACCTAAAACATGTGATGTTTTGCAGCATTGTAGTCTCAGTTGGAAAAAAATGGAAGAACCAATACCTGGGCAGGTATATAATGAATCCTAAAGAAATCTAAGCTTCCAGTCGCCTAAAGGACTTTTAGAAAGTAAACACAAAATGATTTTGAATGAAGTGGAGGGTACTTGAGAGAGTGGTTGTTATTAAGAATTGACTGTATTCAGGGCCCCGATACATACATACGCGCTTGATAACAATTTAATCAAAACTCTGCTTTGACCTGCTTTAGTTAAATGTCAGGAGTAATTTCACCTGTAGGTATAAATCCTGTTTAACTCGCGATCGATAACCATTTCAGTCGACAAAGTTGACCAACATTTAAACTTTTGGTGGAGTTATTTAGAGGAAAAGAAGACCGCCGAAAGCTGGAAAGGAGACTATAAGTGTTAAGAACATTTCGAGCCTAGAAGCTCATTTAAAGCACCCGCAGAATTATATTATTAAACAAAAACCTTATACTATAAATTTGCATATGGATATTTGTTATTTAGATGCATTGAGTTTCGGAATT